GAGCGAGAGAGAGAGAGAAGTCTATGTAATGCAAGGAGTATGTATATCAGTGAAGGAAGGAAATTGAATATTTTAAGTAACTGCCATTATGTGACAGAAATATCGTATTGTCGTATTGACTGGCACACGAGGGCACCCAATTGCATCTACTACTACTACTACTACTACTACTACTACTACTACTAATATCGGCTTGTGTGTTTTGTTTTTCCAAGGAGTGCATGCATTCTGTCAATTTCATGTGTCGGTGTATATTATTATCTAACTTTAATGTATGTCTCAATAATGATTTGCTTAATTTTTTCTTTTTTTTTCTTCTTTTATTTCTCCTAATGAATAAATAGATTTTTGTGATAAATGGAAATACGAATGAATATGTGGGAAATTGAAAAGCTCTTAATATTTATTTATTTATTTATTTTCTTTTTCGGTTTGCTTTACACTTATTTTTTCATTATGCTATAAATAGAGTTCTTTAGTTTTAAAAGCCTATCGTCAAAGACTTGAAATTTGAAAATTAAACTATTAAGTGGGGTTGGCAGTCGTTTGCTTTGTGAAAATTGTTAGTTATTTGACTTGATGTTGTTTTTATATCAAAATGTCTGTATGACCAACAACCATCGGAAATGTTTCGTTTTTATTAATTTACGGATAAAATATTCAAGTAACATAACTAATTATGATAGTTGAGCCAAAGAAGACATTGCATACTATAATGAATTGCAACCTAATAAAGATCGCATATAATCGGAGTATATATAATGGAAAAATTTGAATTAAATACATGCATATATTATGGTTTGAACACAATGTAAAAGCGAGAGAACTAACAAAGATAGGCAAAGCTAATTTGGTTCACTTCAAATCGAGCATTTACTGTTTAGTATTTATATCTTAATGGTTCTTAAAAGTTGTTAGTCTTCCATGATTTGACGAAAGATTTCTGGATCAAACCATGTGGGGAATATGCCAACGAAATATTTCTCTTAATAATATTTCTTAACTTACTCAAGATTCTTTACATGCTTTCGGATCCTTGCAGGAATCTGGTGGTTTTAAATTGAAATAAGGAGTTTAGGATTCGTTTGATTCCATACATATAAGAAACAGGGCATTTTGCCGGTAAGAATATGTTTTGAATTCTTCTGTTTCTGTTTTAGAGGCTCATGAAAATCGAAGGGGCTTTCTTTAATCACCATACAAGTTCGTAAACTGCAAACATATTGTTGAAATTTAATAAATAATGAAGTCGAAGAGCAGTAGAACCTTGGAAAGACCTCTAAGAAAGTTCCGCAATTCCATTCTTGTAAGCTTAAGATAATCCTTATTCTCAATCCGCAAAGATTTGCACTTACATTCATTGTAATTATTTAGGGTTTTTTTTTGTTTTCACTAACTTTTCTCCCTTTCAAACTATCGCGTTTTATAGAATTTTATTATAGCCATCAACGAAAAATGAAGGGTTGTTTCGTTCTAACGAAACCTTTGCAACGCTCAGAAAGAAGCAAAAGAAGAAGACACCGTAAAATCTATATATTCTTGATCAGCATTAAATTCTGCGTCGATTTAAACATATCCGTCTCTCCATCTGTGCAACGGCTGTTGTAAACATTCTCCTGGCCGAAAATAATGATGCTATCGACTTCAAATTTGATAGGAGCGTAGAAAATTCTCGCATCAGAATTTTATTCGATACGAACTGAATCAATTGAAAATGGGTCAAATGGGTCGAAGGACACGCCTACAGTAAAATGTAACTGAGGACCCCTCTGCTTTTCAACAGGAATTAAAAATTTGCCACAGCTGTTCGTCTGTTCATCTGCCCGTTTATTAGTCCGTTCATCTAATCGCTTGCCAAACTTTGTAGTATATGCGGTACACATTCCCCCGTCCGCGCAAATGATAATATCGTTAACATATTAGTAAAAGAGCTTGAAAATGGGCGAAACAGGTCGAACAACATGCCTGCGTAACAAAAACTGTCAACACCTTTGCTCTACATTTTTTTTTTTTTTTGCTTGTGAGTTGCCACTTTTGAAATAGAAAAAAAAAAACAGCCATCCCCAACCATTATTTCAGGGTATGAGCGCATTCAGTTATTTTCCATTTTTTTTTTTTTTTAGCCTTTTCTAGCATAACGATGATGGGTATAAAAGAGTCGGTCACACTTGAGTAAAATTTCTTTCCTTGTGTTTTAATTCATTTTTCTTTTACAGTTCATTCTTTGCAATGATAATGATATGATGCAATTATTATTCCGTTAATTAAGATGCTGGTCCATTGGCTCTTATTCACGTTAGAATATTTTTATTTATTTTATTTTTGTAATAAAGTTATCGCTTTATTATGCTTTACAATTGTTTCTACGTAAATGATTAATTACAAGTAATTATTCGATGCTTTAGTTTTTGAAGCTTCCCTTGTTTTTTACTTTTAGAAAACGCAAAAAGAAAAACTCATTTATGTTTATCAAATATTTACTGAATCGTCAAGGTTTTGTACTGTAAGAAATTATTCATTATTTAAGCAATACTTCCTTTGTTTTATAAAAGTTTGAAGAAACTGATAATGGAGAAAAAATATTGCATCTTGACTTAATATATTCCCAGATAAAATTAATATAATTAGTTGCCGTACTCTTTACTTGCAGAACATGGAAATGTAAATCGATTACGATGTTAAGCTGCTTTTCCTGTCTTTTGAAAACGGAAACGTATCAGCTTCAAATTGACTTAAATAATTTGGTTACGTGGTGCTCGTTTTATTTTATGAAATTAAATCTTAAAAAATGCAAGAAGCTTTCATTCTCAAGCCGGAATTCGGTTAATATCGAGTATTTCATCGATTCACACAAGTAAGATTCGTTTATCGACTTAGGCGCCCTATTCGACCGAAGATCATGCTTTAATTTGCATATTGAGTTCCCTTTTAAAGATCTTTACATTACACGTCTTTAGTTAGACCAATACTTGAATATGCCTCTGTTATATGTTCGCCTTCCTTGAGGTATTATATAGATTCAATTGAATCCGTTAGAAATTAATTCTTTCTGTTCGCCCTTAGGAATTTCAAAAAGTTTTCTTTGAATGCTTTTAGACATATCTATGCTTCAGTACTTAAAACAATTAAAAAGGCAATGGTGGACCGCCACTCACTAATAAATACTCGATACCGCTTCGCTTAATATTGTTATTCATATAAGGGGTTTTTGAAAATAAGGCCTTACATGGAATGTGGTTAAAACAGTGGTTCGATCCGAATCATTTTTCGAAAGCGTTTCTCTGTGGAGCAAACTTCACCAAAATATCTCGAAAAGTGGGTCCTGTCAGTTGAACACAAAACTACATGGACAGACAGCAGACGTATAGACAAGCTTAGATCGATTCAGAAAATGATTTCAAATCGATCGGTATATTTTAACGCACTCTAGGTGTTTCATACGTCCGCAAAAGCTTAATATACCCAGTACAAATTGGTAGGTAGAGTACAGGATATAATAAGCTACCTGCAGTGTACAAATTTACAATATTATGTTACCGCATTTCGAATGTGTATCTTCGAGTAATTCGTATGCGTTAAGATTTCTAATATACCTACACATACTGCGTAGTGGTAAATATAAAAAGTTATTTTATTATTTAACTGAGGGAAAATCCTGCTCATGTTTTCGCTTACATAGTTAAGCAATAAATTCTATTATGTTATATTTAGGTATAAATTCACAGTTAAGCATTCACAGGCAAACTCTAAAGATTACCGCATAATTCTTTCAGTTTTTATATACGCATTAGAAACTATTACTAAATTTTCGAAAAATCCCGTTCTTAACATGAACAAAGAAAAATTGAAATTTATATTGAAGAGAAAACAAATTAAGCAAACGTTAAAAGACGAGAACATATTGAGAATGTATTCAGTACAATATTTTACTTTGCCAAGCAAAGATCAAAATCCACGATATTACGAAATTGTTTAGAAATCGTTCAAGTGTTGTATCAATCTCCGAAGAAATCAAGATTTGTCTAAAGTATATATCTGCGGAACAATTTCAATTCAATCTGCAAGAGCTTTCTTGGAAGCTGTCTAAGGATCAAACCAGGTAAAAATCAATTCGGCTTCAATGATAACATTTCAGTTTGCAGTTGCTCATATCATCGGTATCCAAACGTTTCAATCTTTGATTGCCGGGAATACACCTTGTTCTACAAAGTGACTTTTCTCTTTTACATCTTAATGCGAAAATTATAAAATTGCCTTCTATAACTTGCAACATTCGAGTAAAATTATAGATTTGGGTTTGTTGTCGCAGATATAGTTCGGATTTATTTCAATTTTATTCATTTAATCGTTGCTATTTCTATGTAGCCTCTGTCCAGTAATGACTAAAGACCGAAAATATTTTCCATGACAAGTGCCGCGTGAAACCTGCCCAATTTGTCTTATGCGTCAAATTCTTTTTTTTTATTTCCATTATATAGAGCCTAAATAACTGATATAAACCCGAAAAACTATTAATTTTAAAAAGGAGTACTTTTCACGTTCGTAATATTCGTCGCAGTTTGTTTTGGCATTGGAGCTTAGCAAAGTAAAATCCTTGGTAAAGGAGCAGCACGGGCCTTAATCTGTTACGGGATGATTATACTCCTTTCTGGAATTTGTATTAAGACTGCATTACTATTTTTTATACAATTTCCAGTTACTAAGCAATACTAAGCAATTCTTTAAAAGAAACGATGTACATACAAGATACATTATTCAATGACATCTAAGAAGTATTTTGTTTTCTTCAAGTACATCGACACTTTATAACGTCAGCTAGGGTATCGTAAAAAAAAAGTTAGAGTGCTGCAGAGAAATGGAGTAAAACGACATTGGGAATGGTTTTCAATTGTTTTTTTAAAATCTTGGAAAAGGAGTTCCCTTAATCAGGATAAATTTATAACCCTGGAATTGTTTATTGAATAATTTTTATTTACCATTTTTTTTGTCACAGCGTAGCAATGGAAGCATCACGAGTTACAGTATCCCGAAATTTGAAGTTTGCTATCTCCCATGCATTTGAAGCATCAATACTCATCAAAGACGCATGGCTACTCTTAGAAGATGCGGATATAGGCCAAGACTTAATAGCATATGGTTTTGAAATGACAAAAATAGCTACCAAGTTATTTGAAATTAACAAATCAATAGTCGATCCTGCCCGTTTCACTGGAGAGCGGGTACAAACTTGTAAGATTCATTTCTTAATGCATTTTTATTTTTTTGTCTCATATATAAACTCGAAATTAACATCAAAAATTTAGGTTCACCAGTAGCAACAATAAGTGGCACTGCGGCAGTACAAACATTACCAGAAGCACCACCGAATTGTAATAATTCGCGACAAGACCAAATTATGGCTAATATGGAAGTACAAAATGCACCAGACGATCATGTTGGTAATCAAGAACAAAATGAGACAAGGAGCAATATAGAAATAAAAACTTTACTAGAAGCACAGCTGCATTCCCGTAATCAAGAACAAAATCAAACAACAGACAATTTGAAGGTACAGAAATTAGAAGACTCGCAGCCGCCACTTGTTAACCAAGAACAAAAGCAAATAAAAAATGTAGAGGCAAAAAACTTAACGAACGCGGAGCCACACGCTGGTATTCAACAAGAAAGCCAAGTCAAGGCCGTTCATGGAGGACAAAATTTGCAAAGCGGGCAGCCGGTCCTTGGTAATACACAAGAAAAACAAATAAAACACAATTTGGGAGGACAACATTTAGAAGACTTGGAGCCGGTATTAGTTAACCAAGAACAAAAGCAAATAAAATATGTAGCGCCAGAAAACTTAACAAAGCCGGATCCACACGCTGGTATTCACCAAGCAAAGGCCGTTCAGAGAGTACAAAGCGCACAGCCGGTCATTGGTAACGCACAACAAAAGCAAATAACAACCAATTTGGGAGGCCAAAGTTTGCTACGGGGACAACCGCAGTTTGACACCCACCATCACAGCGCGCAACAAATAACACCTAATCTGTGGGGACAAAATTTACTAAACGGACAGTTTGACATCCAACAACAAATAAGAGCGAATCGGGCAAAACCAAACCCACAAAGCGGACTGTTCTCCTTTGCTAATGCACGTTAAATGACACCCATTCTGAGAGGACAAAGCAGTGCTTGGGTAACGCATTTCAAAAACAAATAACATCCAAGCTGAGAGGGCACACTACTGAATGGATAGCTACCGACAACAAAATTAAATAAGGACCAACTTAGGAGCACCTTGCTGTCACAACCCAATATAATTTTCCTTTTACATACCTCGTCTACTTTATCAATTTCATACAATTTGATTGACATTAAAATCAAATCATTGCATATACGTTGCGAAGAGCAAATTAACTAGAATATATAGATCGAATTCATGTATACTCACACATATGCACGCTCATAAAAATATATATTACAAATAATATTACTACGGAAAGAAACAATTTGGAGTTTTTAATGGTAATGCAGGCCAGCTCCTAGACCGCTTCCTCGATTCGTAGTCAAGCGAGGACCTTTCAAAGAATGTGAATCCTTTGAAATTTTAAAGTTTCTAATCAAAAAATGAATAACAGTGAAATCCGATCTTTTTCAGTTCCTTCCAGATAAAGATGCTTAGATTCTAATAGTCTATCTTCCAACAATTACAGAAGACTATAATAAATATTGCGATAATAATAATGTAAAGTAAAGCAAACTTTCATTTCATTTACTCGAAAAGAGAAACTCATTTATTTTAGAATTTCGTAATTTTTCTACAGAAACTAGTTCTTACAAAGCAGTTCGGAGTTAAAAAAAAAAAAAAAAAAAAAAAAAACTATAATAATCAAAAATCGTTCCCACCACAAAGAATAGTTGTGAGCAACGTCGCGGATTATAATGAGTAGGTTGGACGATTTATGCCTGGTACTCGTATTGTTTGCCACTTGTATATGGACTTTTCAAAATAAGGCGTCATATGGGAGGTAGTCGAGTGTATCCTTGGGCCAAAACGCGTCAATGTAACATGTTAGTGAGAGCATCTTAAAACTTGTGACCAGAAGGTTGAGCACAAGCCAATAAGATGGACAGAGGGACAGACAAGCGGCAACCGATTTAAAAGGCAATTTCGAATTTTTCCTTATAATAATACCTCCTTCTGGATGCGTACATCCGCTCAAACTTAACATGCCCTTATATTAGAACTGAGGTGTAGGCTATAACATTTACATTTGCAAATAAGTTAATATGATTTTCTTTTCATCTTAGTAAATATTTAGTTCTTTTTTTGTAGGCATAGCTTTTTTCGTTCTTGTTCCAACTTTCTTTTTATATAAGTTTTTTTTTATCTTTCATAAATTTCCTTTTTTCTTCGGCTCTTTCTTTAATGATAACTGAAACAATTCTACACAGAATTGATCAATACTTGCATTGTGCATTTGTAGCGTGAATTCTACCCCAGAGTTCGCACCAAAACCATTGATGTTACTATCGGTAAAGCATTGATTAAACCATTAATATTAACGGGTTTGTTGCACCGTCTGTAGAATTCGCACTAAAATGTCCACAAGGAGGACATAGAATTTTTATAGAATTGGCATTTCTTACTTGGCTGCACCTACGTAAAGTATATAAAACAAGCACATGATCGTTGTACACTATTGGAAAGATTGCTTTATTCTCCAAGGCAAAAACTTGGCGTCATTTACACCACATTTTACACTACTTTATTAATATTATTATAATTAATTTAGCTGAATAAGTAAATTTAAAGACTAAAGTCTTAAAAGCACCACTATTTGAGGCTTTCGGCTTTATTTAAAACTATCGCGCTTGTGATTTGGATTCACGATACTTGAGTTGTTGTACTCGGCCACTCAGTCGGATAACTATATATAATGTTTCCAAAGCTGTATAGAACTGCGTTTGTACTGCGAATTCTGCACGGTGTCCAAAAAGTACGACCAATTTTTTTATTGCTTTTTTAAATCCATTTTGATCTTTCTTTTCGAATAACTTCGCACAAACGACTTTTGCTTGTTAATAGCTTGATTTCAACAGAAGGAATTCATAGCGTGTAACTCTGCGATAATCGAACAACACCTGTTAACACTAGTTTGATTTTTGAGTGGCTTTTGTGCGCGTTTTCGTTCTGAGCTCGAGCATTGGTCGTAGATCGAAATTAAATTTATTTGAATATTATTTCATTCTCAATTTACAGCTGTTTTCTCTTAAAAATGCAACTCTAAACAATCAATACTAAGGCAAAACGTTAGTTATTTACTTTACGCCCGATCTGACAACATACAAACACCTAGGAATCTCGAAAATGAGACCTAACTACGACCTCACAAAATTAGTGCCCCATAGAGAATTGCGCTGCGTTTGCTCTTCAAATTCTATATAAGGTGCGTCAAGGACACCATGCTTTGTGAAAAAAGAAGTGATGAAGACATTGCCTAAGAGAAAATCTTTTATTTAAAAATTTTTCAGCTTTAAAAAAATTAATAATATATTTTTTATACTCAAATTTTGCTTTGTTTAGAGTAGTGGTACGTACTTTGCAGAGAAAACAATTTTTTTACTTCAACATTTTTGAATTTTTAAGCTTTTCAATTCCATTTTAAAAGAAAAGAAAAATTATCTGAATGCTAGAGAAAGTAGAGAGAGAGAGAGAGAGAGAGCGAGAGAAAGAGAGAGAGAAAAAACGCAGAAACGTATTGTCGTTCTTGGCTATTGTTCTATGTTGAAGAAGTGATTACTCAATTACAGTTAACTTGTGTTGTACAAAAGTAACTGCAAATCATAATCATAATAAGTAGTTATGGACGGCATACCGGATACAAACAACACTGAACATTTACAAGCAACAAAAAACAAAGAAGTACACAGATAAGAAAGAAATCAAGTTGTAGCTAAAAGTAAAACAAAAAAAGGAAAAAAAAAAAAAAAAGAGAGCAGAGCCAAAGCATAAAGATTAGAAAAAGAAAAGGAAAATATTATATATAATTGAAATTTTGAGATGGATTTTGCGGTTTCGTTTTTCTGAGATCTTTATTATCTTGCGTACGAAATGACAGGAGAAGAAAGAAATGTGAAGAAAAGTAAAAAACGAAGCAAGTAAAACTTCCATATATGGTGTTACGACGAATTTTGAATACCCTTCAGGCTAACGAGGTTTTGTTTTTTTTTTGTTTATTATATAAGCGGGTCAGTGATCAAATCGGTTATTCATAACCAAGAAGTGAGAAAAGTTTTTTGATCATTTTCTGCTAGGGGTTTTACTAAACATGAAAATGAAATGAAAATTATTGAACGGAAATTATTTTACTTTTTTAAATACCTTAGCGCATTCTTCTCGGGACCCTATATAGAACCAATCTTTAAATATCGTTAGGCTAAGTTTTCGATTTCTTGCTTCTTTTCAATCTGCAACTTTCATCTTTCCACAATTGAGATATCGAATGGATGGATTTTTGTTTTGTTACGATCAAGTGCATAACTTATGCAACTTTTGTAGCATGTTTTTAGGCATGACAAATGCACTAACACTGTGCAGTCTCTCATAATTCAGCGTAAGACGTAAGGCTACATTAACACAATAGAAAACTTATATAAAAGATATGAAAAGGAAGAAAAATGTAATATGTTTGAAAGAAAACAATTTACTAAAAATCTTCTGGTAATTTATTATACTTGCTATTCATAAAAATGTAAATTATGAATATTACTAAGCACTGAAAAAAAAAGGAAATCAAAATCGGGCCATAAACGAGGATTGCTCCATTTATTTTAAGGCGAAACTAATAACAGCAAAAGTTTCCTTATTAACGATATTCTTTTTTTAAATCGGTTCAGTTCTGCTTATAGATTAGTTTCTAAAATACAGATATTGAATATTGTACATTATAAATATATATATATAATAAAATATATCGTCAAACAATATAATAGACGTAAGATGGATAAGCGATTAGACCACCGCGCAGAAGTTATTTCACTGGACAAGAAAAAGAAAGAAATTAAAGCTAATCCTTTTCAATTTTTCTCCAAGTAGATCGGTATTATATAAAACAGTGAAATCATTTATTGCTAGCGATCGTGTCTATTTCTTCTTGATAAAACAGTGATGCCTAAGAATGTTTCAATCTCACGTTTAAATCTCACGTTTAAAAAATGGCTTACTTGAATATATCTATTAACGTAGTCTAGGCCCCGTTTATTAGTTTGTCCGGAAAGTAATTTTTTAATTATTTTTTGTATCCACCTGACGACTGCATTGTATTTTTTCACAATCAATTTGACAGTTCATATAACAAGGGTTGCTTGCGAGGAAGTTCCATAGTAGCGGCAACACACCAGTGCCAAAATTAGTTTGCGAAATTTCGATCCCACATTTTTGATCTTGAACCGAAATTAAAGACATGCATTAATGAAAATGACCGAATAACAACTCGTGAGCTCGCTGAGAGATTAAATTTATCGATTTCGACCGTTCATGATAATATGGAACGCCCTTTAATTTTGACCAAATAAAAGGAGAAATTACTTTCCGACCTCCTTAAGCCAACTATGTGTTGCCGAAAGTCATACTAAAACGATCTCTGTATTCTATAATCATTGCATAAAAGTCTCTGTGTGCTGCGAACTTTCATTTTTCTTTTTTTTTTTCTGCTGAGAGGAAAGTAGCAAAAATATCGTTCTTCAGGCTTCAGGCTGATAAAAACATTTGAAGACATTCTATCAAAGCAAGACTTTTCGAATAATCCTCGCAATCACATTGTGCATGAATATTAGAATATGAAAATTTATATTATTCAAATGTATTATATAGAATTTATATTTTATATATAGCAAATCAATCAAAATTATTTACACATTTCACTCTCAATAAAATATAATAACAAAAAAAAGAAGAAGAAAATAAATACAAAAATCCTAAAAAAAAAAAAGAGAAAAATTTCATAACAAACAAATTACTAACAAAAATTTGGTTTGGTTAACCGTAAGAGAGAAAGAAAACAGAAAATGAAAAAACCAAAAAAAAAAAAATACAAAACAACCACAATATGTAAAACAAATCACATTTAAAAACAGTGAACTATTCAATGTAATCGTTAAAAAACAAAAATACTAAACTAACCAAATATTCAAAAATTTGTTTGTTTTTATATATATATATAAATTTTTTTTTTGATTCTTTATAAAACATTCGCATAACTGTGGAGGTATTCAACTCAGAGAATTCCAGGCTTACAGTGATATTCCAATTAGGAACAGTTCAGTTTTGAAAATGAAATTTTAGACAAGTTTTATAGGAAAAGAACGGTAATGGGTTTAATTGTTTCCCCATCTGCCTCTTGATAATTTTTTAGCGGAAAAGCTGTAAGAATTATTTGAATTGATCAAAATTATTTATAATTTAAGTTTCTATGAATAATATTAAGTGAGAAAATTGCACGAAGAGGATGGAGATGCCCGCTTGGAAACTACAGTTATTGACATCGGTTTTTGA